AGACGTATGTATGTTAGTTTGTAACGGAATTTTTGAACATGATTTTGACCCCCTTCAAAACCTCGGATTAACTCGCTTTTTTTACAATAAAATCATTTTTTCTTACACTACCTATTTTATATTCAAATTTATTAAAATTTATTTTCTAATTTTTAGTTGGTTTTTCTTTTTTCTTTATTGCTTTGGTGGGTGGACAAGCTCACAGCCCACTTAACACCAGGTGGGCTGTGAGCTTGTCCACCCACCAAAGCAATGTTAAGTGGTTACTGGAGCCCATAGACATCTACCACGTAAATACGCCACCCACCGTGAGATGCAAGTTCTAAGGTCTCAGTATAGTTACAACGGCTGCCACACCCTTTAAGCCGAAACGCATTACTGCTTCACGGCAGAAATAGGCATCTTAGAACTCATATCTCAAGGTGGGTGGCACATTTACGTTGTACATGTCTATGGGCTCCAGGAACCACTTAACACCGGTCTAGGTTAAGCCACCCATTTAAATAATATAAAAAAAACACGTGTGGCTAATAACTGTGTGCTCACGCGTGACCTAATCAAGCTAACCTTTTTCTATCTCGACTTCCCGACGCTGCAGTAACTGCTGGGCCAAGAGCGGGGTGCCGTCCTTGGGCAACCTGGGGACGGAATCAGACCTCGTGTTGTAGTAGGTCGCGTGTTGTGGTATGTCGCGTGTAGTAGTAGGTCGCGTGTTGTAGTAGGTCGCGTGTTGTAGTATGTCGCGTGTTGTAGTAGGTCGCGTGTTGTAGTAGGTCGCGTGTTGTAGTATGTCGCGTGTAGTAGTAGGTCGCGTGTTGTAGTAGGTCGCGTGTTATTCGTGTCCACCCAATTTATTGGTTTTTGGATTAGAAATTAGACTTCAAATCGAATAAATGTATTTAGGTTTTCTAAACTGTATACTTATATATCTATTTATTAAATGTATACATATATTATCTATAACAATGTAATGTTATTAGTACACTGCACTATGACTATTGTATCTTTAACTTTTCCAAAATTTCTATAAATTAAACGGATGTCTGCAAGAGATCGCTTTTATATATGCTTGTTGACTGTTTTTTTTAATCTTTAGTATGTTTTGGTGTGCAATAATTTCTCTCTCTCTCTCTCTCTGTCTCTCTCTAAATGTAGAAAACGTAACGAACTTGGCTTCCAGACCGTCGGCCATCTCCAGAGCCCTTTCCTTGGTCACGTTCCCGATGATCAGACCCTCGATGTGCACCTTCCTCAGCATCCTGCTGATGAAATCTTCGAGCTGGTCGACGGTCATGACTGGCAAGGAAACAAAATGTTGTTTTTTAAGTATATAAGATAATATTCGAGCCGGCCCCTTCCCCACCCTGCCCCGGGACTAGCCCCGGGGTGGCCGCCCCCCGGAATAACGACGCACGCACAAACATACATCTTATATTTACATTTGGGTCATAGACAGGGTGTTCTATTGCTCACCTCATATACAGAGTGTTGATAAAAGTATCGATTTTAATTAAAAACTTTGATTTACTATTGTTGGATTATTTTAATGCGAAGAAATTTAATAGTTTTAATAGTAATAGTAAACTGGTGGTAGGACCTCTTGTGAGTCCGCACGGGTAAGTACCACCACCCTGCCTATTTCAGCCTCTGAGAACTTATATCTCGAGGTGGGTGGCGTATTTACGTTGTAGATGTCTATAGGCTCCAGTAACCACTTAACACGAGGTGGGCTGTGAGCTCGTCCAACCATCTAAACAATAAAAAAAAAACACTTGGGTCGCAGACAGGGTGTTCTCTTGCTCACCTCATATACAGAGTGTTGATAAATGTATCGATTTTAATCAAAAACTTTGATTTACTATTGTTGGATTATTTTAATGCGAAGAACTTTAATTTTCTTCCCTACCTATGCTGATAGCCTTGAAAGGCTATATATCAGCTTCGCCCTAAAATGTAGGTGAGCTCACGGGGCACAAATCGGAGAGTTGCTAACCCTGCCCTTTTTTTTTTTTTTTTTTTTTTTTCGGGTAGAGGGCCGAACCTCCTACGAGGTCCCCGCGCAAAAGGGGCGCGCGATCCCCTCCGAGGTCAGAACCCGGATGAGGTAGGGGGGCTACCGCGGTCAACACTACAACCAGACGGCGCGGCTCACCCCAAGGACGCCCAGCCGACGGAGCCTTCGAGGCGAATCGAAGGCTCTGAAACGTCGGCCGTCTCGGTACGGCAGCCCGTCGGCCCGCCCGGACGGTGCCGCTGGTGTCCCGGAATACCCCGCTGGACCAGAACCAGCCTGCCGGGTCGGGACGCGATACACCGTCGACCGGTCGCTCTATTTACTCCATGGCAGCGCGCTAGAGTGCTGGTAGCGCGCCGCGCGGCCTCACCCCCTCAGGTCGCCCCTTGAACTTCACCGGGGGGAGTTCGCCTCTTACAGGGGCCGAAGTCGGACAAAAGCCCTTCTGCGGCCCCCGGCTCGGCGGCGACGGATAGGTGCAGAGAGGGATGAGCTCTCCCTCTCTCGTTCCGCCGCCTCCTTCTGCGAAATGGTGCACTCGCAGAAGTCGAGCATCGCCTTCCAGGACTCATCGCTGCCAAGCATCGTAGCCACGACAGTCGGCAGCGACAAGCCCGGTCCTATTTGCGAGACAAGGACACGGCGTTGCTCCACCCATGCGGGGCAATGTGCGAGCGTATGCTCGACCGTGTCCTCGTCGCAGTCACAGTGGTGACACTCCATCGTCGTTTCCCTCCGGGCAACGCGATGCAGGTACCGGCCGAAACACCCATGGCCGGTAAGCATTTGCGTCAACCGGAAGGTGAGACGCCCTTGGTCAAGGTTAGCCCATTTCGCGAGGACCGGGCGCACCGCCTCGACGGTCCGGAGAACGGCCGACGGGTCCGCCAAGCGGCGAGACCACGCCTCCAACACAGACCGCCGAGATTGGAGCCTCCGCTGCTAACACTGCCCCTAGCAAGAGCCGTGTTTCGCAGAATCTACCACCGAACCTAAAACGCGACCCACTGAGAAGATCCGGCGAGAAACTCAGTGGGCTGTCTGAGGGAAAATTTAATGGTTTCTTAATTTAACGACAGTGTCTTCATGGATACGGGGGTTAAAGACCTCAACGACAACTCTCAATCTACGGCATGTTCCAAAGCATCAAATGCGTAGATGTGATTGTGGTCAGCAGTGTACTGTGTTATCAGCGTCAGTGAGGGTGTGGAGAGACTCACCCTGGGCGGCAGCCAACAGCTGGGGGCGGGTCCAGCAGACGTCCGTCAGACACATCGTCTGCTCCAGAAGGGCGTGCTGCAAGAGATCAGGTTGGCGACTTTAAAAGGACTGTTATAGATAGTATTGAAAGTTCGTACAGGTACGTACCACCAATTTTAATGTTGCCACAGAGCTGTTCCCGTTTCAAGGGTGGGAGTCTTTGGATAATTTATTTGAGGCTTTGACCTCATGTTTCAAGGACCGTTGGGATCTTCACGTTATGTCCGTGGGCCCCTGTAACCGCTTATCATCAAGCCGCAAAATCATCTACCTAACCTAAACCCCCATTTATTTGATTAAACACTTGTCGATCAACACGGAGGATCTTGTCCTTTTATGACCCGCAATGGAAACAAAACATGGATAAATCGAAATTTGCGATACATTGCGTGTAAGAAAATATNTCAAGGACCGTTGGGATCTTCACGTTATGTCCGTGGGCCCCTGTAACCGCTTATCATCAAGCCGCAAAATCATCTACCTAACCTAAACCCCCATTTATTTGATTAAACACTTGTCGATCAACACGGAGGATCTTGTCCTTTTATGACCCGCAATGGAAACAAAACATGGATAAATCGAAATTTGCGATACATTGCGTGTAAGAAAATATATGAACGGGGTTGAATGAATGGACCCGCCATCACGCGTGAGAGCCGGAAGGCACGACGCCACACTTGCGGCCCCGGGACCTCACCTGGTACGGCTGTTCGGTTTCGTAATTCTTCATGGCTCGCACGAAGATCTCCTTGATGATCTCGAACCTCTGGGGGTCCGGCTTCGCGGACAGCATCCCCGAGATCGTGTCCAACAGGACGTGTTGCTTGTCGTCGTATCCGTTTATGGTTATCTGTGGACCGACCAGGGATCACGCTGTACGCACCGTCCCCTCGGCGATAGAGGGGGGGGCGTTCCGCTGACATCTACTCTAAAGCTATAATTTCTTATCTGATCGTTCTAATCACGTGTCCTTGTCCATGGGCTCCGTCCGACAGAAAAGTTCGCAGGACTATGATGTTCAGTGACTAAAAACACCAAGGTACCTCCCCCCCCCCAAAAAAAAAAAATGTTTATGGCTTTTGAGGTCGCCATCGCTCATGGAGATCAGTAACGTCAGGGGTGCAACCAAGCCCCAGCGTGTGTGTTACATTCGGCTTCGTCAGGTTTGAGCCCCGTGAGCTCACCTACTAGTTAAGGTTTCGCTGGAATAGCCTCTCAAGGCTTCCAGATTAGGTAGGAAAAAATAAAATAATGGCGAGACAAACGAAGAAAATTTTGAAAATTAGTGAAATATTACGTAACGTCGAAGATTGGCTCGGCGATTGGCCCCGAATGACGTCACACGCGGTTAAGTCGCACGCGGACCAGTGTAGTTTAGTATTTGGTAAGTACTGCCCGGTTACCAATTTTTTTTTGGTAATTTTAGTAGTAGTACTCTTTAAAAAAAAAACTTTATTCCTTGTACGATGGCATAAGTGGTTAACGTCCCCCATAGACTTCTCAACGTAAGTCCCGGGACGCACCTTGAGACATGAGGTCTAAATCTCAATCGCATCGTTTGAACTTTAACCGGCAAGCGGGGGGACCGAGTGAGGCCCAGTCCCCTCGGGGGGTTGGGGGGCTCACCGTGATCCCGTTGACCTCCGACCCCAGACTCCAGGACAGGCCGGCCAGACTGGCGGAGTACGTGCTCTGCTGCAACGCGTCGCGCACCAGCATCACCCACACCGTGCACAGGTTGTAGCACAGGGGGTCAGAGTTCGGCAGGGGACTGAGGGCATTGTCAAAGAGAACCATTACACCATGGCATCACCCCGTGCCTCAAGTATAAATACAGTTTTTCCTGTGCAACCTCAAACACCGTCACTGTAACTTATGTCGGTTCGTAGCTTGGTGGAATGTACTAACAGAGGTTTGAAGTAAGAAAAATATTTATTTTATAGTGGCGTCGGATGACAAAAACTTTTAGTGGTTAAGAAACGCGCGGCGTTCGTTGTATCGGTAACAGGTCCGAGGCCCCCCACCTCTCGTTGAACCCCGCGCACTCCCTCTTACAAATCTTTTTCATTTCTTTTAATAAAATGAATCTACTACATAAATGAACACACATTAAATATACTAGCTACAGTTTTAAATTTTATATTCAACGCATCGCTAACAGTCACATTGAGATATGAGGTCCATGTTTTGATATAACGCTACTTTTATCCTTAAAACAGGAAGACAGATCGGCTTCGTGGCTACCACAGTCGGGACGGTGGTACCAACTTGCGTGGTGCTGATGTCCACGGGCGACAGGGTTCGAATTGTACACAAAATCAACCCGGAAGTCGCGACCCTCTTTCTAGACCGGTGCTGGTCTGTGGTCCCCCAGCCCAAGGTCCACCCCAGCGAGCACTTACCTGACGTAGCTGAACCGCATCGTGGCCTTCGGGAGACGGAACTCGCCGTCCAGCTTGTACCAGAGCCGCACCAGCGGCGTGTCCTGCATCGCGAGAACAATTACATATCGTTACCGCATTATAGTAGAATTATTTTGTCCGTGCAGTTTGGGTCATTAATAATCGGAGCGGTGAAGCGAGTATTTCCCTCTCTCTTCCACTCACGAGCCTTATGGACGGGCATAGTGATGCGCATTATTGTGGTCGATAAGCGTTATCGATAGTGTATTTAGTTTTGTCATTTTGTGGATTAGTGATAAAAATTAAATAAAAAATCACTAATCGAACACTTACACCACATATCGCCGCAGCAAGTTAACGAGAACGGCAGAAATGAACACTTTGTAACTTTTCGGGATCTATTCTCATTTCAGTGAAAAAATTTAACACATTTTTGTCAACAAGCAAAATATTTGAATAAATTCTGCCGTTTTGGTACAAAACAAAGAAGTAGCCATTGCGCACTAAAGAAATTCAGAGAGCGAATGCACAAAATCACATTTCTCTTCGACATATGTACTATAATTTGCAGGTAGGTACAACAAATGACTCATAAATTATCAAAGTGTAACCACCCTTCGTATACCAACCACCCCGCCGCCGTGTACCTGCCTTCGATGACTCATTTGTTTTTATCGATAATGGCGTTGGTGGATAATGGCCCGAGCAACATGCTCACCGCCCTAGCCGGGCTATATTTTATGACCCAAACTGCATCGACAAAATAATTGTACTATAGGTATAATCACGTCATATGCAGCACCCAACCATAGATATTGCACTTCGAGCTTTGGAAAGAGACGGTTGGCTGATTTCGACCATCGGTATAGTGTTGTCTCTGTCGCACACTGCCCCTGCGACGTTTGGCGGTCGTCCTATGGCGCGTTGTAACGCATATATGTAACACACTGAGCTAAGTGAGGCTTGACAGCACCTTCAAGTTCTTGACCCGATAACGTATCACAAATCTATGAACGCCGGCTGCACGCACGAAAAAGTATCACGTTCCATCTGAGCCTGAGCGTGCGAGCGAGAGCGCGGGACAAGCGATAGAGGCACGATCGGCTCAAGCGTTGGCTTGTGAAACATTCATCTCTTCTTGCGTCACGTCAGAGCTAGCAGTTCCAATAGTTCCGCTACTGACGTTATCACGTAACACTATCCGACGTTACAGACAAACAATTCTACTTTCTCTCCACCTCATCCTTCCTAACCTTATAGGTGGGGTCGGTACAGTGAATTTTTCTATTCAGTTCTCCTCTCATCAGTCGTCATCTCAACACTCACTCCTCTCTCTCTCATATCGTCATTCACACACTCCATTCATGTCTTCTTCGGTCGACCTCTTCCCCCTCTACCTAACTACCATTTTTTTATTGCTTAGTATGGTGGACGAGCTCACAGCCCACCTGGTGTTAATTGGTTACTGGAACCCATAGACATCTACAAGGTAAATGCGCCACCCACCTTGAGATATAAGCTCTAAGGTCTCAGTATAGTTACAACGGCTGCTTTACCCTTCAAACGGCAGAAATAGGCAGGGCGGTGGTACCTACCCACGCGGACTCACAACACGTCCTACCAACAGTAATTACGAAAATTATAATTTTGCGGGTATTTGATTTTTATTACACGACGTTATTCCTTCACCGTGGAAGTCAATCGTGAACATTTGTTGAGTACGTATTTCATTAGAAAAATTGGTACCCGCCTGCGGGATTCGAACACCGGTGCATCGCTACACACGAATGCACCGGACGTCTTATCCTTTAGGCCGCGACGACTTAATGATGACTTAATGAAAATCTTGCCTTAATGATGGTCGGTGCTGTGGGGGCGGCGGTGGGGGACTCCTCCTCCGACTCGAGCACCTCCAGCCTCGTGGGGATGTACTCGTTAACCGAGGGCAGATGCAGCTCCTGGGTTGGAGTCGCGGACCTCCACGTCTGGAAGTTACGTGTCAAAAAAATATATTATTTTTCCTACCTAATCTGATAGCCTTGAGAGGCTATATCAGCGTAGCCCTAACTAATAGGTGAGCTCACGGGGCTCAAAACTGACGACGTTGCTAACACGAACCCTAGCAAGAGCCACCTACCACCGGATCGGAAACGCGACCCACTGAGAAGATCCGGCGAGAAACTCAGTGGGCTGTGTCTGAGGGTTAATTTACTCGCCGAGCCCTTCGTCGCAAGCGACGGGTTCGACGAGAACGATGACCGGTGCTTGAGGTACTTAAAAGCACCGTTAGTGGATCGGGAGGATCCGAAATGACGTGTTTGGGGCGACGTCGACTGTTTACCATTCTGTCCGCAGGATCGGGAATGTCATATCTAAACCCTTTACGGTGTCGACTTATATGTTGTCCGTTGACATCACGGTGTCACGATACGGGAACCGCGCAGACTTTGCAGAGCAACGTGTGACGTCATTTGTGGTGAAATAATGTTGAATTATGATTCTAATGACTTCATAGATATCCGACCGGCAGAGTCTATCGAGAAACTTGGGTGTTCAGGGTAGGGTCAACGGTGAAAGACCTGGTGGACGAGGCCTCATGCGCTGGACAGATCAAATCAAAATCCCTACCAAGACCCCACTTAAAGAGTGTGTGCACCAAGCCTCAGTTCACGAACTACGTAGAGCAGCTGTTAAGGCTATATTGTTACGCCGGTAAGAGTAACGCCATCTATCGCCGAATAGTCGAACGAATATCGAAGGATCCAGTAGCACCTAGAACGCTCGAAAAGTACAACGCCATCTATTGACAGATAGCGGAAATTACTACTAGAGATGTGTGGAATATTCTCGATAATTCTAGGGATGTGCTATCGACTATAAAAGCGTTGCAGGGATGGCACGCAGGCAGTTATGTAATCGGAACCACTCGAAGCGAAACAGCGAACGGATCACCTGAAGCGAAGCGGAAAAAATGAATTGAAAGTGTTCTGTGTGAGTTCTAAGTGATAAGTACAGTTTTTAGTTGTACTTTGGTGGAATTTTTATCTATCCCGAACCTCAGCGCGTAACAATAAGGATTCCACTGGACCACGACTGCTCTCTCAAGAGTAACAGACTATGATGACAGATATCCTGTTCTGATATCACTGACCCTCGAGCCGGCGCGATTTTTTTTTATTACCCTTGTTCGCAGACGAGCATACGGCCCATCTGATGGTGAGTGGTTATCGTCGCCCATGGACTTCAGCAGTCAGTGTGGCAGAGCGAGGCCGCTGTCTACCGCTTAAAACAGCGACTGCTTCGCGGCATTAACGGGCACGACCTCGGTTCCCGTCCACCACCAGCCTCAGACAACTCCCCCTTTCGAGTCTTACCTTAATCTTGGCATCCTCTATGGTCTCCCTCAGGTATTTCGTACCGTACCAAGGTTCGATTTGCGTACACTTCTCTTCAAAACGTCTGAAATGTACATAAAAAAAATTTAATGGGATTTTATGACATGGTAACTAAAACCTTTAAGTCATGTCTTTTTTTTAATTTATGTTCTTATTTTTATGAAAAATGATAATATAGAGTAAAATGAAATGTGATGAGATAATATGGGAAGAAATATAGTTTCAGTAAAACGGTGATTGATGGTGATTGGTCATTTACTGAGACTTTTTCAGTGAACTTTTTGGAGAATCCCGAGAAGTTAAGTCCAGCGGCTTTATTTCATATTCACACATTTGTGCACTTTCACAGATATTAAACAGTTAATAAACCACCGTTATTATACATTTAAACCTGAGGAAACACTAAATAGACAAAATAAAATAAATCACACAACTTCACTCCTCGCGTTCCCGCCAAAAAGTCAAATGTACATAAATAAATATATATGTCACAGTTTCAGTAAATGTTATCAATCTAGTCGAGTCGGAAACGTCAAGAAGTTCACTTGGATAAGGATGGCAACACTAGTTTCCGACAGTTTGACGTTTGTGGCTGTTTGAAGGTTGACGTTTATCATAGACCTTTACTTTCGTGACGTTTGTGGCTGTTTGACAGTTGACGTTTGTGGCTGTTTGACAGTTGATGTTTGAGGTATGGTTTTACGGTAAAGAAAGGACCGCCATCGTTCTGTAGGAGAGCACCGATGCGAACTCGCCGCGTTTCTCGATCAATCTCAATCTATCCGTTCGATCATTAGTGATTATCTCTTAAATTGTTTGCTACAGTGAAAATAAACATTTGTATCGATCATCTGTATTGATCGTCATAGATAATACACATAAATTAATTATAGATAAGCAACTCAAGCACTGAACAAAAATGTTTACGGACGTCGGCCACTAGATGGCTTCGCTTCGATTAGTTTCTCATTGCTCCTGCAGATGGCAGTAACGTATTACCTTTCCTATGTTTTATTTTCGATATGAGGTCTGATACGCCTAGTTCACGTTTCCTTTTCCAGTTTTTACATGTTAGTGTAGGTATGTTAACCGATACATTCACATACGATCATCCATGGACGTCAGCAATGCCAGGGGCAGAGCCAAGCCGCTGCCTACCGTTAAGTACTCTCCACAAACCTCGTTTGAAGAAGGACATGTCATAGTACTCCGGACCACATGGTTCATAGACCACATGACCCAGTTGGCAAATACACAAAAAAAAACTCACTTGGCCATTATAGCTACCCTAATGTTCTCCGGAGTCAAGCAGTCCAGCAGCTCCTCGATGAGGTCCGGTCTCCACTCCGTCATGAGGTCGTAGACGCTGAGGACGTCCTCTATCGGATAATCCTGAAATCAAAAGCGAGATCTGGTAATGTTAATATGATAGCTGGAAATTACTGGCTTACTTTTTTTTCTGCCTATGCTGATAGCCTTGAGAGGCTATATCAGCGTTACCCGACCAAAACACGTCATTACGTATCCTCCCATCCATTAACGGCGCTTTTAGGTACCACAAGCACCGCATAGTTCTCGTCGAACCCGTCGCTTGCGACGAAGGGCTCGACGAGTAAATTAACCCACAGACACAGCCCACTGAGTTTCTCGCCGGATCTTCTTAGTGGGTCGCGTTTCCGATCCCGCGGTAGATTCTGCGAAGCACGGCTCTTGCTAGGGCCAGTGTTAGTAACACTCCGGCTTAAGCCCCGTAAACTCACCTACACGTCAAGGAGAAGCTGAAATAGCCTCTCATGGCTATCAGCATAGATACGAAAAAACGAGAACGTTACCCTAATGTGTAGGTTAGCTTCCGGGACACAAACCTGACGACATTGACTAACACTAGCCCTAGCAAGAGCAGTGCTTCTCAAAATCTACCACAGGATCGGAAGCGCCACCCACTGAGAAGATCCGGCGAGAAACTCAGTGAGCTGGCTTATGGTGAGCCTGTATGGATTCAAATTCAAATTCAAATTCAAAATCATTTATTTCAACTTAGATGTCAGTATGACACACTTGTTGAATGTCAAAATAAAAATAACAATGTTAACTCTACCACCGGTTCCAAAAAAAGCCACAGTCCTGAGAAGAACCGGCGAAACAAACTCAGCGGGCTTTTTTTTGTTTTTTCTCAAATATTTTCTTTTTTTTAAATAAATAGAAATATTCACAATAAAAGAAAAAACAAGTCAAAAAAATACAATTAAAAAAAATAATAATAATAATGAAAAATGAAAAGGCCAGGAGCGAGCGCCTCATTCCCACGTAGTGCCATCTAGTAAATAATCCTTAACTTTATAATATGCCTTGTTGCACAAACGTTCCTTAACAGTTTTCTTAAATCTATGAACAGGTAGTAGTTGAACGTTTAGTGGGATCTTGTTGAAAAGCTGTACACCCAGCCCCCTAAAAGAGTTGCTTATTTTCTTAATTCGAGCCGCCGGCAACGCAAGCCTATGTTTGTTCCTAGTGTTCACATTGTGCAAATCGCAGACTCTGGGGAATTCTTCAATGTTTTTACGCACGTACAATAAATTTTCAAAAATGTATTGGGACGCTAAAGTTAGAATTTTGATTTCCTTAAACTTGTCCCTCAAGGATTCCCTCGGGTGCATATTATAAATAGCACGAATAGCCCTCTTCTGCAGGATGAAAATCGTTTCGACATCGGCAGCATTGCCCCATAGCAAAATGCCATAGGACATAACACTATGAAAATAACTAAAATAAACCAGGCGTGCCGTATCTTCATTAATATACATTCGTATTTTTTTTACCGCAAACGCTGCAGAACTAAGCCTACTCGCTAACTTGCATATGTGAGGACCCCACTGCAGCTTGGAATCAACTGTTATACCAAGAAAAACTGTCGAATCCACAAGCTCCAGTGTCTCTCCACTTACAGTAATATTAGTGTCAACTTGTCTAACATTAGGTGTGGTAAATTTTATACATTTTGTTTTTTTGTTATTTAATAACAGATTATTAACACTAAACCAATGTACCACGCGCGAGATAGCATCATTCACATCGTCATAATCTTCCAAATGTCGTTTAATTTTAAACAATAATGATGTATCATCAGCGAATAATACGACCTCGTGACGGGTTTCAATAAACTTAGGTAAATCATTGATATATACAAGAAATAGGAAGGGACCCAATATGGAACCCTGAGGAACACCCATATTAAGTAAGACACCGGAAGATCTCGTTCCTTTAACGTCTACCTTTTGGATTCTTCCGGATAAATAAGATTTAATAAGTTCTAATGAAACGCCCCTAATACCATAATGGTGTAATTTCCTCAACAATGTATTATGCTCAACACAATCAAAAGCTTTAGATAAGTCGCAGAAAACCCCAAGGGCATTATGCGACTCTTCCCAAGCCTGAAAAATATTTTTAATGAGATCTACACCTGCATCAATAGTTGACCGACCTCTAGTGAATCCATATTGTTTGTTATGAAGCAGGTTATTGGAATTGAAGTGGTTCAAAAGTTGTTCCAGAATAATTTTTTCAAAAATTTTACTCAATGTAGGCAGTACTGAAATGGGCCTAAAGTTAGAGGGGTCAAAAGTACTACCAGATTTAAATAAAGGTATTATTTTACTATATTTCATTAGATCAGGAAACACACCACCTTCAATACAGTCATTAAATATTGTACATCCAAATCTCCTTATTTATACCTCGAAACCTTTATTAACAGGTGATTGACTGCACCTTATTTTATCTATGAGCTCCACTAATCATTTAATACTAGATGACCCGTGAGACCGTGGACATCCGACCTTTTGCCGGTCACCTCTTTGTCAGCACTCCCGGCCAGACTTTCACGACTCAGACTTTCATGGTCATGGCGATCACATTCAGTTTTTATGTTGCTATAAGTTTTGGCAATTATTTTATGACCTTGGGGATAGTTTTGTTGACCTTAGGCCCAGATTGTATTAGCTTTGGTCAGGCTTTGAAGCCACGAGGTCAGGAATGAGGTTGGTAAGAGAGTTTTAAATATGAATGTGAAAGGTTCTAGAGGTTAGACCGAAGAAAAAATGGATAGATTGCGTGAAAGACGGTATGTGTAAGAGGGGAATGATGTATGATAGAGGAGTATGGGAGGAGGATATGATAGAGAAGTATGGGAGGAGAATATAATAGAGGTGTATGGGAGGAGGATATGATAGAGGTGTATTGGAGGAGGATATGATGGAGGTGTATTGGAGGAGGATATGATAGAGGTGTACGGGAGGAGGGTATGATAGAGGAGTATTGGAGGAGGATATGATAAGAGGTGTATGGGAGGAGGGTATGATAGAGGAGTATGGAAGTAGATAACATGTTGCGCCGACCCCAGGGGACTGGAAGAAAGGCAGGAGAATGATGATGATGATGGCGATCACATTCAGATGTCTGTAAGAGCAGCACCGACCTGAAGCAGGCTGACGTGGCCCTTGACGAAATGCCGGGGCTCGTACTTGTCCTGGAACCGGAAGCTGATGGCACTCAGCTCGCGCTGCTCCTCCCACACCCACTGCTGCGGACCCTGGGCCCTCAGCATGGCGAGGTACTGGAAGACCACATTTCCTTTTTTTTTTTTTTTATTTCCCTTCCTTCCCCATTTCCATGAGCATACGGCCCACCTCATGGTGAGTGGTTACCACTTCCAAGTCCATACTTCAGCAATGCCAGGGACAGATCCAAGCCGCTGCCTACCGCTTAATCCTCTCTACAAGCTACGTTTGAAGAAGGGCGCTCGGGAAACATTATGTGACACATGTGTCTACAACCTAAGTGTCCGCACTAAAATTTTATATATGGCTTTTATTCTATTGCCGTGGTTGAGTAGAAAGCCTTGCTGGAGACAAGAAACCGAAGTCACAATTGTATAAAAAAATACTCCATCCTTTAGTAGTAGTGGTAGTGTGTTGTAAGTCCGCACAGGTAGATACCACCACCCTACCTATTTCTGCCCTGTTTTTTTATTTTTTAATTTTAAGCGTATATGAGTGGACAACATTTCTGTGCGTCATCCCTTTATGACGGGACAATTAAATCTAATACATTAAATCACATTTTATCTCTTCCGATCCCAAATTGTTCTCCATTTGTTTTTAATCACCTAACGGCTTGTGATGTTAAGCGGAGCATATTATCCATAACTTCCAATGCTGTTGGAAGTGACTGTGTGGCCCGTAATATGATCCTTCCTATCCTAGACCAAATCCTTCCCATTATTTGTCATATCCTGAATGAATCATTATCTAGCGGCATCTTTCCAAAGGCTTGGAAAGAAGCACAGATTACACCACTGCCAAAAAAGCCGAATCCTACATCCTTTTCAGAATACCGTCCAATTTCCATTCTACCGTTTCTTTCAAAGGTTTTAGAACGCCTGATTCACAACCAGCTCAGTGAGTTTCTTACGAGAAACGAGCTTTTAAACCCTTATCAGTCCGGCTTTCGTCCTGGCCATAGCACGGTCACAGCCCTGGTGCATATTACGGATGCCATCAGATTTGGCATGGAGAGTGGGAAACTGACGGTGTTGGCATTGCTGGATTTCAGTAATGCTTTTGGCACCGTCGATTTCGACATACTTCTAGCCATCCTTAGCTCCATTAACATATCTCCAACCGTGGTTGATTGGTTTCGCAGTTACCTGTCTGGTCGCCGACAGCGTATTCACTGTGAGAATGCTTATTCTTCATGGTGTGAAACGCACGTAGGTGTACCGCAGGGTGGCGTTTTATCTCCTTTACTCTTTTCAATTTTTATAAATTCTATTTCTTTACAACTTACTTCTTCCTACCACCTGTACGCAGATGATCTACAGATATATACGCAATCTTCTTTACCAGAGCTGACCAACGCGATAAAGATCCTGAACAATGACTTATCGATATTGTCCCGTTGGAGTAAGTCTCATGGATTGAGGGTGAACCCGTCAAAGACACAGGTCATTGTTGTCGGTAGTTCAAGAATGTGTTCGAAAGTTACATGGTCGCAGCTTCCGGCTATTTTATTTGACGGCGCACAAATTCCTATCAGCGATACTGTGAAAAATTTGGGTATCTTAATTGATAAAAACCTTTCATGGAACGCACAAATAAAAGAGGTTAGCCGGAAGGTGTTTGCATCAGCTGGATCGTTGAGACGGTTACGAAATTTTCTTCCAACTGCCACTAAAACTGCGCTTGCACAGTCTTTACTTCTTCCAATTCTTGACTACGCTGATTCCAGCTATCCGGATCTAACCGAAACACAACTTGATAAACTTGAGCGGCTACAAAATTTCTGCATAAGATTCATATTTGGGTTACGGAAATATGATCATATATCTGAATTTCGCACTAAGCTCAAGTGGTTACCAATTCGCCTTCGCCGCAATACTCATGTCCTTTCATTACTATACTGTACTCTCTTTAACCCCCATACCCCTACATATCTCAAAGAACGTTTCGAGTTCCTAGGTGATACGCATAATTTTTCTCTGAGATCATCAGATAACCTGAGACTGAAAATGCCGGTGCATTCATCATCATTCTTTGACAATTCATTCACCGTCCAGGCGGTTCGATTGTGGAATGCTCTGCCGGATGCAGTGAGAAGTGCTCCAACTTTAAACTGTTTTAAAAGAATGGTGAAGGAACACTACTTATCTGCTTAGTGCTGTTTGTTGCATCATTATCATTTATAATTTCCATACTGTTGATTTAATAAGTGTGTGTAAGTATATTAGTATGTATTGTATGTAAGTATGTATATTGGTATATATTATATTATGTAAACGGTATATATCTGTTTATTATATGTATATATTTTCTATAATAATGTATTGTATATGGTACACCGCACCTGCTATATTTTTTTTTTTTATATTTTACAGAATTTCTGTAAATTAAACGGTTGTCTGGAAGAGATCGCTTTTAGCGATAAGACCGCCTATTGTACATATGTGCTTTTTGACTGTTTGTTTTTTTAAAATGTAAATTGTGTTGGTGTGCAATAAAGTGTATTCTCTCTCTCTCTCTCTCTCTCAAGCTCATAGCCCATCTGGTGTTAAGTGGATACTGGAGCCCAAAGACATCTACAACGTAAGTGCGCCATCCATCTCCATCCAGCGCGTTCAAACAAACAAACTCTTCAGCTTTATAATATTAGTATAGATTCCAGATTATTAACTCCAGATATCAATCTACCCTCACCTGGAACAGTAGGGTTATGATGTCGTCGACATGGTCAATGCCCTCCTCGGTGAGGTCCACGAGGACATCAAAGAAGCCAAACCCTCGGGCACCACCCGTCGGATCGGCTGACAAACTGAATTAATAAAATAAAAAAAAGCTGAAGATTTACGAACAAACATAAGTTGAATTGAAACACACAATGTTTATATATGTATATATATATATAAAGGATATTTTTTTCTATTGCTCCTACCTGGTGTTAAGGGGTTAGTGGAGCCCATAGACATCTACAACGTAAATGCGCCACCCACCTTGAGATGTAAGTTCTAAGATCTCAGTATAGTTACAACGGCTGCCCCGCCCTTCAAACCGAAACGCATTACTGCTTCACGGCAGAAATAGGCAGGGCGGTGGTACCTACCCGCGCGAACTCACAAGAGGTCCTACCACCAGTTCGAGGTGGGTGGCGCATTTATGTTGTAGATGTCTATGGGCTCCAGTAACCACTTAACATCAGGTGGGCTGTGAACTCGTCCATCCATATAAGCAATAAAAAAAATAAAAAAAATACACAAATTATAATTTTACGGGTATTTTTAGGCAGCGGCTTGGCTCTGCCTCTGGCATTGCTGACGTCCATGAGCGACGGTGACCACTTACCATCAGGTGGGCCGTATGTTCGTCTGCCTAAAATGGCAATAAAAAAAATTTGATTTTTATTACACGATGTTATCTCTTCACCGTGGAAGTCAATCGTGAACATTTGTCAAGTACGTATTTCATTAGAAATATTAGTACCCGTCTGCCGGATTCTACGGCACCGGACGTCTTATCCTTTAGGCCACGACGACTTCCTTTTATAATGTAATAAGTCTACAATATACGTTGGTTTAAAATGAACCTTATCATTTTACTGTTAAGGTGAGGTAAGGTACATAATAACGTGTTAGTTAGACTATGTTTGTAAAGCACAGTACATTTGTTTTGAACAAGTCTCCTATCAAAGTAGAAATGAATATCAAAAATTGAATTTTAGGTGAAATTCTATATATCAACAATTTTTATAACTATGAAAACAAACAATGTTATAATAAAAAATATTATATAATAATATACATATCTATAATAAAAACTTTGTAGCAGAAGTATGCATAGAGGATAATATGTAATTTACCACACTTATAGAGAATATAGAGAAGGAGTGCAGTATGCTAATTTTTTTTTTTTAATTATGCATTAAAATACATTATATAAATAAAAATACATTCCACATACTACCATGTATTTGACACAACACTTAAATACTCTTTTTTTTATTGTCGAATTTTTGTTATTGTTTAGTCTGTGGTCAAATTGAGAACAGATATTGTTTATCTTTAATATTATTTGTCTATAGTGTAGTCTTGGCGAGATCTGTGATTATAGAAGTATAATAAATAAATAGTCTTTGACAATAGAATCATAATAGTGTTCAAACTTATAATTTCAATAAATTAAAGTCGAATTTTGACTACTGGGGGACCACTAGTATAATATGTAAATAGGGCTAAGAGAAACGGGACACGGCTTTATTTATTTTATTTATTTATTTATAACTATCTATACTTGACAGTATAAGGGCGGACTTAATGCCATAGGCATTTTCTGACAGTCTACTTTAGGAAGAGAGGCCGCCCCAAACTTGGCGTCGGTCGGCGGAGCAGGAGCTAGGGGTCTTGGGCATGACGTGGGAGGAGCTAGAACAGACTGCCCAAGACCGATATAAATGGAAAAATTTGATTCGAGCCCTACACCCCAGCAGAGGATAATAGGAAAGAATGATGATGATGATGCTACCTTAGGGGAGTGCAGAGATGAATCTTGGTAGATGTAGTGTTATAGTGATATTAGGTACTAAAAGATATCACTTTTCGCATTAAAAGTGTACATTCGAAATTGAGTTAATATGCGGAATCATTTGGTATCATCAGTATTTTTCTAATAAATACTGTCAAAAGAGCATAGTTTAGATTTTTATTTTTTTTAGTTATGTTGACCTATGTTTTGACTACTATTAACAAAATCAATACATAATTTTATCTTACGTTAAAAGACAGATAATGTAACTGGTAAAAAATAAAAAATAAATGTTGCATAGATGATTAATATTAAAAATATCACATGATAAATAAACCTTTAAAACACTCTCCTGTTTACAGGAGATTATACAGTTTTAATGCGAGAAGACGATATGTATATATAAAATACATAATATTTATACATACAATACTCGTATTTAAATAAAATTTAGGATTAGGTATGGGGACATTAGTGGGGGGTTAGAGAAAAAAATTGAGAAGCTGCGGTTACTTGTTGCACCATCCCCTGGCCTTGAGCGCGGCGAGCAGGCTGCCGGGCCCCTCGTGACCCACCGCGTGCGACACGTACCGCGCCGGCTGCAACAACGCGACGCCGTCACGATCCTGCCCCCTCTCCCAACCCCCCGCGGCGCAGTCGGACACCCCACCCCGCTACGAGACCTCGACCTCGGACCCCGGGGACGGGAGGCACCGTTCCTAAAATGTCCATGGAAGCACCCCCGTCCGGTTCTGCGGACACCTTTACTCCTCCCTCGGAGACCAGTACGTCAAGCAAGAAAATCTATCGATTCTTAATGAGTTGTCGATACGAAAACGGATCATTACATTAGTCGGCAGCACTCGACAGCCATGTCGGTGTGCTTAGTGCGAGTTTTTTAAGTTCTCGATAGTCTAAAAGTTAGCTGATATTTGTGTATGGAATGGGATCGTTTGCGTACGTTTGCCGCTAGGGGCGCTGTTCCAACTGCATACAAAATTGGATTAGCTTTTGAAATGAAACTTCTTAAGAATCGTTGTGATTTCAAACTCGATGAAACGAAAAATAAGTCCATAGACACAAACACATAAATGTATAGGATTCAGCCGGCGAGAGAATGAGATAGAACACATTAGACGTTGTCAGTGAACGTTTTTTTTTTAATACAGCGCCATCTATGAGATTTTTCAACACTAACGTGTGTATGAAACCTCTTGTAGCGAATTTTAATTTAGGATTTTACGGGGAGTTAAAATATCAATTCACAGAGGGCGCTGCCTCATACTATAAAAGATGATTTGCAATCATTTACCAATGACATAATTTTACATATATTAGACGTTTAGGATAATTGTATTTTAATTTTTGAAGGTTTCATTTTTACCACGCGCGAATTGCACACTTTTTTTTTTTACGCTACCGATAACTTTTAGAAACTCGCACTAAGCACACTGATGTCGAAACTATTTTCGTGCTCTCGATCTATGAGCACAAGGTTCAAGTTACGAGAACGCGACTTCACAAGTGAATTCAATCGCGCTGCTGAAATTTCGTTCTATTTACGGTCGGTAGGGGGCGCTGTTTAAATCCTATCCATTTTTTTTTATCGATATCGATAAGATTACTTATTCGATAGTCACATTCACCCCCTAGACCTAAATATTGAAGGAACCCTCCCAACGGTGATATGACGATTTAGATATTACACGACAGATTCATCTCACCCCGCTTTTGTAATATCTCCTCATGTCTGGTGATGGAAAACTTATAGATAAGGACCTAGTATCCTTCACGGGGACGCAGTGCACCCTGGTCCTGCGTCTGGACGGCGGAAACGGATGCTCGGGCCATGAGGGCGCCGTGACGTCACGGTCCAGGACGGGCCCGAACAAGGGAACCACTAACGCTTCCAGCTCGTCCAAGGATTCTGGACGGAGACATTACGGCCTTTAGTAAGGACTCGTTAAGCAAATGCATGTAACGGCAGCCATTTGATGAGCCTAAAGTGTTTTGCTTACTCGTAAGCACTCGTGAGCAGTCATGAGCCTTTAATATTAACACAAATTCCGATTTATTATGAGAGTACCGTTTTAGTTTATGAGATTCTGAGACCTAAGTTTGTAATTGGACGTGTGCTCAAGAGCGCTCACAAGTGCTCACGGGTGTTCACACCGGTAATAAGTTAGCGTTGTACATAAACAATTAAATAAAAACTCTACAAGGGCGCTTATGCGTTTTCCTTTACTGAAATAAAGAGACGCTGACTATAGTAAACGTTAGGTATTGAGTTTACAAAACGAATCCCGTGACACGCTTTGAAACATGAGGTTGAAGCCTTGATTGAGTTTTGTACTGTTGACGATGAGTAAATGGCAGCTTGCTATCCCAGTTTTTTTTTTATTGCTTAGTATGGTGGACGAGCTCACAGCCTACCTGGTGTTAAGTTGTTACTGGAGCCCATAGACATCTACAACGTAAATGCGCCATCCACCTTGAGATATAAGCTCTAAGATCTCAAGTAGTTACAACGGCTGCCCCACCCTTTTAAGCCGAAACGCATTACTGCTTGACGACAGAAATTGGCAGGGCGGTGGTACCTACCCGCGCGGACTCATAAGAGGTCCTACCACCAGTCGAAAATGCCGAGTATGCCGGTATCAGTCGCCTCAAGCAATGCTGCTGTCCATTCTCCGCTGATTCACCAAGTCGCCTCGCAGCGACAATGACTGGAGGGGAGGGGGAGGGGGAGGGGGAGGGAGGGTGGTAGGGAGGTGGAGGGAGGGGAAGAGGGGGGAAGGGGAGGGGGTAATAGGGAGGTGGAGGGAGGGGGGATGCTACTCTAGCTCGACATCGCACAGCTTAATCCATCCAATCATCACTAATCACCATCTCATCACTAAAGATTAACTTCTCCCATGCTCACCTTTTCCCAAAACGGCAAGCGTCATGATATTCGAAGAGTACCACCTCTCGTGGAACTTGAGGAGTTCGTCGCGTACATTAATGCCTTTCGACTTCGGTATGATATCCAGGGTCTCTTTGTTGCCTGTGAAAGAAGAAAGATTTTTTTTAGGGGATTTTATGACCTGGTACTGAGACCTTTAAGTCATGTTGTTTTTATGAAAAATGTTAATATGGAGTGAAGTGAAATGAAAATGATTAATTTGTGACGTTAATCAACTGGGATGCAATTAAATGAAATTAAATGATATGGGATGAAATATAATCTTAGTAAAATGGTGGTGAGATTTTTTCTTTACGTCCAGCTTTGTTTCATTTTCCCACATTTGTGCACTTTCACAGATATTAAACAGTTATTAAACCACCGTTATTACACATATAAACATGAAGAAACACTAAATAGACAAAATAAAACAAATCACACAACTTCACTCCTTGCGTTCCCGCCAAAAAGTCAGAAGAAAAGTTGTTAGAACAATGCCAGTAACGCCATCTGTCGTCGGATACCGAAAACGAATCTCGAAACATTCTCGAACATTCCACGCTCAGAATCCTCTGCTTCTCTACCTCTACGCGATGCCGAGTCGTCTATGTAATACAGTCGTGCGTTGACTATGTCTACAACGATCCAGAACATTCCAGGTCCAACTGGAACATTCTCGAATGTTCCGAAGACAGACTAGTCTATTGGAAATTACTCCGACAGCGTGACGCGGGTCACGCGCGGTCAGTCCTGCTCTGAGCGAGGTCCACCTCAAATGTGATAATTGTATTGAGCTTTAATGAGTAAGTTCGGTGAAGACTTTATTTATCCTGAGCCACAGCTCGTGGTACTATACCATAATGGAGGGGTTCGTTAGACCCAAAGATAATCTGAAGTCTGGTCACACTCAGTATGTGGGGGACATGATCTGTGGTGTGACGGAGTCACACATTCACGAGAGAACCCGAGAAGTCAGAGTCAGTTAACTTTAATAGGGTGGACGAGCTTACGGGCCACGTGGAATTACGTAGTTAGCGGAGCCCATAGACATTAACAACGTCAATGTCACCATCTACTTTGAAATCAGAGTTCCGAGTCTAAGTTTCTTGGTACACCAGTCTGGCCCTTCAAACGCATTACTGCTTCACGGCAGAAATAGGCAGGGCGGTGGTATCTACCTGCGTGGACTCACTAAAGGTTTTTTTTATTGCTTAGGTGCGTGGACGAGGTCACAGCCCACCTGGTTTTTAAGTGGTTACTGGAGCCCATAGACATCTACCACGTAAATGCGCCACCCCCCTTGAGATATAAGTTCTAAGGTCTCAGTATAGTTACAACGACTGCCCCACCCTTCTGCTTCACGGCAGAAATAGGCAGGGTGGGGGTACCTACCCGTGCGGACTCACAAGAGGTCCTACCACACCGCTAACACATTGATGTCTTTACGAGCTTACCTGTTCCGAACTTGGAGTAGGGGTGTCGAGGGTCCGCCAGCGCGCAGTTCACCTGCTCCAGCCTCCAGTAGTTCGAGGTGGTGTTCTTCTCGTGCTCAGAGTTCACGGCGTTGAGCTCTCTACTGGTGGCCGACTCCGTGAACAGAGGACGTATGAAGAACTGCGCGAATCTGGATGGAGAAGGCACGGTTTTTCCATTTCCTTCGTCATATAAAGGAATACACAATCAACACTTTTTTTTAGATGGGTGGACGAGCTCACAGTCCACCTGGTTTTTAAGTGGTTAATGGAGCCCATAGACATTTACAACGTAAATGCGCCACCCACCTTGAGATATAGATTCTAAGATCTCAGTATAGTTACAGCGCCTGCCCCGCCCTTCAAGCCGAAACGCATCACTGCTTCACGGCAGAAATAGGCGGGGTGGTGGTACCTACCCGTGCGGACTCACAAGAGGTCCTACCACCAGTAATTGCGCAAAATATAATTTTGCGGGTTTGATTTTTATTACACGATGTTATTCCTTCACCGTGGAAGTCAATCGTGAACATTTGTTGAGTACGTATTTCATTAGAAAAATTGGTACCTGCCTGCTTCGATCAACAATTGTAACTAGATAAAGGGACACGTACAAAATCGAAGCAAAAACTGTCCGCGTGAATATACACATACATATAGCTACGTTGGTTTACAACAAACGGAGACAAAAGTTTTGAAACAGTTTGAAGTTCAAACTAATTACAACTATGCCACCTAGTAATAAAGTTCCAAATCTCCAAAACATTATCTAATACTTACGATCATTCGTCACAAAGCAATAAATGACTCCTGTCACTTACAAATGAAAAGGCATATATTAAACAACCTTTAATGTTAAATAAACCTTATGCGCCAACAAATAAAGTAATTTTTCCCGTTATAGATTTGAGAACTAACATCGTTTTGTTTTATTTATTTTTGCTTCTTGAAATTTCAATTTCTATTTACTACAGGAGGTAACAGAGTCGCGTTGAACACTAAAATAATTTATTATATGAATAAAAGTAAAAGTTTAGTTGTTTACTTTTTATGTTTTGAGGATTTATGTTTGTTGGTATCTATACATTACTTATTATTTTATTAGCGTTACGTTTTGTGTAGTAGATATTTTTATAGTATATTTTTATGTTTTCGCGACTAGTACATATAATAAAACAACGTTTAAACGGTTTTAAGCGCGATATTTTTATTAAAATGCTTCGGCCACGTTTCAGTAGCCGTGAACACGGAAGGCAAAGATGTCCAGTGTCAATGAGTGGAGTTCTTAGCTGGCTTATAAAAGTAATCTCTTCTTTCTCTGGCGACAACCGAGATCCATTCTGCACACGTGATTGCTAGGAAAGCTAAAATAAAAAAGGAAAGCTAAGTATCCAATGAGAATCCAACAAACAGACACAAAAGCAGAATTAACCAATTTTAACTAACCAATTTTGAAGTACTGCTAACAAATTTTTAAAAATTATTACAACACAA